AACTGTAATAATTCAACTGTAAACCTAAAAATTTACAGCCAATTTTGAAAGAGATGTATCTTAGCTCAGGAAAATGTTATTGAATGTGTCAATGCTATTGTAATGAAATGCTTCTTCCAAGTATGTGGTCATTAAATATATAATTTTAAAGGAAAAGAAAAATGAAGGCTGGGGAGATGGCTCAGAGGTTAAGAGCACCACTGGCTGTTCTTGCAGAGGACCCAGGTTCAGTTCCCAGCACCCACATGGTGGCCAACAACCATCCTTAACTCCAGTTCTAGGGGATCTGCTGCCCTCTTCAGGCCTCCAAGGGCATTTCATGCATGTGGTGCACTTTTATACATGCAGGCAAAACATACACATAAAATAAAATGAAAAAAAAAGTTTAATGAGAGAAGTTATTTGCATACTGTTGAAGTTTTATATTAGACTCATCAAGCAATATAAATGCCTTCTAGTGCTATTTACCTACTTAAGACCAGTAATGACATGATATTTTAAGTTACAGGATTGGACTTACCTTATGTTGTTTTCCACTTAGAATCTTTTTGGAAATACAGTATTAGAATTCCATAAGATAGGGCTGGAAGCATAGCTCAATGGGTAAGAGTGCTTGCTGAACAAGTGTGAGAACCCACATTTAAAAAGTCAGTGTGGCTATGTATGCCTGTAACCCCAGTGTTGTCAGGAGGATCACTGTGGCTGGCTGAGTTCCAGCCTAAGGAACTGAGAGCCAGACTCAAGGGAATGAGGCAGGTAGTGACAGGGCAGGACAACCAATGCCCTCCTCGGCCTCTGTGTACCTACATACATATGTACATATTACCACATACTCACCAAAAATAAAATAAGTTTTCATAATGTAGGAGCTAGGAATGTAGCTCGTTTGGTAGAGTGATTGCTTAGCATTCACAAGGCCCTGGGTTCAATCCCTAGCACTGTATAAACTGGGCATTGGTGGCACATACCTGTGGTTCCAGCAGTCAGGAGGCAGATAGCACTCTCTGAGTTCTAGGCCAAATAGGGCTACATAGTGGTACCCTTTCACAAAAAAAAAAAAAAAAAAAAAAAAAAGAAAAGGAAAAAAGATTAAAGGCCAGTCGTATAAGGAGTTTTGCAGCAAAAGGAAGTGAAGAAGAAAAGTTTGGGCTGGAGAGATAGTTCAGTGCTTAAGCGCACTGGCTGCTCTTGCAAAGACCCAAATTTGAATCCTAGAACCCATATGGCATCTAACAACTGTCTATAACTCCAGTTCCAGAGGACCCAACACCCTCTTCTGTTCTCCAAGGTCATTGCAGGACATGGGTGCACTTACATACATTCATGCATAACACTCATACACATAAAAATTTAAAAAGAAAAAAAGACAATTGATTAAGGAAGTAGGATTTAAAAAAGGGTTTGTTTTGTTTGGTTTTTGAGACAGATCCTTCTGGTTACCTATCTTGGCCTCTAATTTAAAATCCTACCTCTACCTTCCAAATGCTGGGATATCAGGTAACCACAATGCCCAGTTTGTGAATATTTTATTTTTTTTAAATCGGAAAAAAAATAGCTTTTTATATGTTGATATTATCTAGTCTAGAGTAAAAGTTGATGGAGAAATAACCATTTTCTTGAGTATACAAGGAAATCTGGAATATACATGGATGAATCAACTTAGAGAGGACTCCAAAAAGATCATTTATCTTTTGGCAAGAAGGTGATGTGTGTAAGTCTGTATGCTTCTGGTGAGGAATTCTCACCATGAGAGAATCTGAAGTTCTTTTCTGCTTTTTAAATTTTTTCTTTTCTTTTTTTTTGTTTGTTTGTTTGTTTGTTTTGGGGGACAGGGTCTCCCTGTAGCCCAAGGTAGCCTGGAACTCACTTTGTGGACTAGACTGGCCTGGATCTCAGAGATCCACTTGCTTTTGTCTCCTGTCATTTTTCTTAGTGTAGTTGAAAGCTAGATTTTCTAGGGCTTGAGAAATGGCTCAGTGTTTAAGGGCACTTACTTCCCTTTCAAAGGATCACAGTTTGGTTCCCAGTATACCCAGGTCAGGTAACTCCAGCTGCAGGGGATCCGAAGTCCCCTTCTGGTCTAGTGGGCACAATGAAGCATGTGCACACCCCCCACACAAATAAATAAGCAAATAGATAACAAAATAAATCTTTATTTAAATAAAAGAAAGCCAAATGTTCAGCTGACAGTGAGGAATAGGAAAATAGGGGAGAGAGAAAGTGACTCATGTCTAGGGTAGGGAGAAGTGAATGGATTTTATTACACTAACTCTGGAGTGTTCTCAAGGAAGGTCGGTTGGGAAATGAGAGTGATAGTGTCCTAGGTTCTTTGCATATGAGAATGGAAAAGAAACTTGAGATGTCTTTGAAATTGTTATGGAGAACAGATAGCTTTGTTTTATGAAAGGGGCTTATATTTTATGAGGTGAATTAAGAGGACTAATTGGGTTGTTGTTTTTTCCAGCTTGTGGTTACTGGAATGAGAAATCACCCTATGAATTTGCCAGTGCAGCTGGCTGCAAGTGCCTGTGTGTTTAATTTAACCAAGCAGGACCTTGCTGTAGGAATGCCTGTTCGACTCCTGGCTGATGTGACACATTTGCTGCTCAAGGCCATGGAACATTTTCCCAATCACCAGCAGGTAAGCATGTGAATTCCCATTCAAGTAGTCCTAGGTGCTTCTTTACCTGCTTGCACTTCCACACAGTTCAATTCAATAAGCCAAGCCTGAAGCTTCAGTTTCCTTCTTTTAGTTTATTGTTATTGCTGCTGTTTTGTTTGATAGAGACAAGGTCTCAGGTAGCCCAAGCTTGTCTGGAACTCCTTGATCCTCCTGCATCTCTCTCCAAAGTACTGAGATTAGATGTACATCACCATGCCTAGAATTAAAAATTATTGGTAAAATTGATCAAGGAAACCTGAGAGAAAATTCAGAGTAAAAAATTAGGAAGTGAGGGTGGGAAAAATGGAGAATAATTGTAATTTTTCTTTTTTCTTTCAGTGTTAGGAAAACCAGGGTCTTGCCAATACTAGGCAAGTTCTTCTAATTGAGCTACATCCTCAGCTGGGATTTCTTTGGGGAATGTGAAAACATTCTAAAAGAGCTCTAGGGGCATAGCTCAGTTGGTAGAAACCCTGAAGCCCTAAGTTTGATACCCTGCACCACAGAAAACTGGGTGAGGTAGTGTATGCTTATAATTCTGCTCTCAGGAGGATCAGGAGTTCAAGATCATGCTCAGCTACATAGTAAGTTTGAGGCCAGCCTGGACTATAGTGAGACTGTCTTAAAAAGAAATAAAGCTGGGTGTGGTGGCATATGTCTTTAATCGGGAGCTAGAGGCAAGTGAATCTCTGTGAAATTGAGGGCAGCCTGGACTACATAGCAAATCCCAGTCTCTGTAGAAGAGCACATACATAATTTCATGTATTAGTTCAAAAACTCAAAAAAGTAGGCTCAGCCTGGTGGTGTACACCTTTAATCCCAACACTCAGGAGGCAAAGGCAGGTAGATCTCTATGATTTTGAGGCCAGCCTGGTTTGCATAGTGAGTTCTAGGTCAGTCAGGGCTACATAGTAAGTCCCCCCACCCCAATTTTATTATTTCAAACTCGGTATTTAGCCCAGGTTGACCTTGAGCTTCTTAGAATTGGCCTCTAATCTCCATACATGATATTGCTGTGGCTTACACACACATACATGCACACGCATACTCACATGCACACACACACACACAAAATAAAGGACCAGCAATACAGGTAAACAATTAAGGGTGTTTGCCACTAAGCTTGACAATCTGAGTTTGATTCCTGGGACCACATGGTGGATGGAGAGAACTGACTTCTGTAATTTGTGCTCTGACCTCCATATGTTCACTGATATGTACACACACAGACATGCACATGCATAACACACGTGAATAAATAAATAGAATTTTTTTTTAATGGAGCTGAGGACTGAACCCAGGGCCTTGTGCTTGCTAGGCAAGCGCTCTACCACCAAGCTAAATCCCCAACCAAGAGTTTTAAAGGTGGGCCAGGAAGATGGCTCAGTGGGTGAAAGTGCTTGCTACCAAGCCAGAAGAAGAGGGACCAATTCCTGCAAGTTGTCCTCTGATCTCCACATGTGTGCTGTGACACACATGCCCCATACATAATACCCCCCCAACACACACACACATCCACAAATAAATAAAATATAATAGATTTTTCAAAAAAACTAAGCCTTTTAAATATAAAACTAGGGCAAGCCAGGTACGGTGGTGAATGCTATATACCAATAATCAGAAGGTAAAGCTAGAGGACCAAGGGCCCATACTCATCTTTGGCTGCATAGTAAGTTCAAAGCCAATCTAGGGGATGCTGGAGAGATGGCTCAGCAGGTCAGAGCATTTACTGCTCTTCCAGAGGATCTGGGTTCGTTTCCAAGCACCCACATGGCTGCTCACACCCATCATAACTCTAGTTCCAGAGGCCAGACACCCTCTTCTGGCCTCCACAGGAACCAGGCATGCATGTAGTACATTTACATACATGCAGGCAAAGCACTCAAACATAAAATATAAATAAATAAAATCTTTTTTTTAAAAAAAAAAAAGCCAATCTACAGGGTTGGGGATTTAGCTCAGTGATAGAGTGCTTGCCTAGCAAGCACAAAGCCCTGGGTTCGGTCCTCAGCCCCGCCCCCCAAAATGCAAAATAACAACAACAACAACAAAAAAAAAGCCAATCTAGGCTGGAGAGATGGCTCAGTGGTTAAGAGCACTGATTGCTCTCGCAGAGGACCTGGGTTCGATTCCCAGCACCCACATGTTAGTTAACAATCATCTGTAGCTCTAGTTCCAGGGGATCTGACACCTTCTTCTGACCTCTGCAGGCATTATGCACTTACATACATGCATGTGATACACTCATACACATAAAATAAAACTAATAAATAAAATATTTTTTTTAAAAAGCCAATCTTGGGGCTGGAGAGATGGCTCAGTGGTTAAGAGCACTGACTGCTCTTGCAGAGGACGTAGGTTCGATTCCTAGCACCCACATGGCGGCTATGAACCATCCTTAACTCCAGTTCCAGGGAAATCCGAAGCCCTCTTCTGACCTCGGCAGCATCGCACGACACGTGTGCACTCACATACATGTAGGCAATACACTCAATACACATAAAAAATTGAAAAAAAAAAAAAAGCCAGCTGGGCATGGTGGCACACGCCTTTAATCCCAGCACTTGGGAGGCAGAGGCAGGTGGATCTCTGTTAGTTGCAAGGCCGGCCTGGTCTACATAGTGAGTTCCAGGACAGCTGGGGCTACAGGGAGACCCTGTCTCAAAAAGACCAAAATAAAAAGCCAATCTGGGATACATGAAACCCTGTTTCAAATTACTCTTCCCCCCAAAAAACAATTCCTTGACAATTTACATAGATACATTAAAATTTATTTATAAATATATAAAATTTTATTTATAAATATATATTGAATACTGCCTTATACCTATATACATTTTATAAACATGTTTCTGCCTTTAAAATTTCATTTATTTTTAATTTTTTTATTTATTATTTTTATTTTATGTGTATGCATGTATTGTCTGCATGTAGGTAAGTGCACCCAT